TAAATGTATATGCATATACATACATATCTATAGATATAAAAGGCTAAGTAACTGTCTGACCTTTTGACCAGTAGCTATGATGCGCACTGACCACCAGGGGGAGGATGCTCAATGCAGGAGCTGAGCTGCGGTGACTTGGCAGTGATGGTTCTCGGGTGACATACCCCGGAACCAGAGAGGAGGGAGCCTGATTCTGGGGTGCATCACCTAAGAACCACCCTCTCACAATCTAAGACCCCTAAGGGGATATTGGAGAACCAGTTTCAGCCCGATCCCTGCAGGCCAGGCCGAGGGACCCCACCTGCCAGAGAGACCCCGCTCACTCTGCAGATGCCCTTTGAGCCCCGGCACATTAGGTATGCCTGGCTGGGAAGGGACCATGGGAGGTTGGCTCCAGGGAGTGTCCAGCCTGTCTCACCCCATCCCGCCCGCCGGCCACCTTCTAATTAATTTCCTTTCAATGTGCATGAATCCGTGCACCGGGGCACTATCACTTAAATATATTAAAAGAACCTTATTAAAATATTTGTATTTGTTACCTCTAGTAAAATGTTAAGTAGCGAAAATTTCATTTTAGTTTTAATCATTTGTTTTCAGCATGGAAGAAAAAAGTGCCTTTGGAAATCTTTTTTTTTTTTTAATTGATTTTTTACAGAGAGGAAAGTAGAGGGATAGAGAGTTAGAAACATCGATGAGAGAGAGACATCGATCAGCTGCCCCCTACACACCTCCCTCTGGGGATGTGCCCACAACCAAGGTACATGCCTTTGACCAGAATCAAGGACCTTTCAGTCTGCAGGCTGACGCTCTATCCACTGAGCCAAACCAGTTTTGGCTGGAAATCTCTTAAGTCATGGAAAATACAATAAACGCAAACATATTTATGAACCACACCTGACATTGACAAAGACTTTTAGCTGTTAGGTTTGACTGAGCAATCGAATCGCTACCCCTCCCCCCAGGAAATGACTTTTCAAGCCTTTTCACCACGGACAGTCCCTTTTGCTGAGACCACACTTTACTTGCTGAGACTACATTCCATTGTCTCTCCTCTCAAGACCTGCATAGAGAATTTCCCTGCCCAGAAATACCCTGCCAAAAGTCCTTTAAAAACCGCTGACCCCGTCACTGGGTGCTGGAGCCATCCAGGCTCAGCCACCTGGTGTTCGGATGATGGAATAAATCCGCGATCCCTCACCATTCTGGCTGGTGCGTTCCTCCTTCGGAGACCTTACACTAGCCAGGCCTCTCCGCCTCTTCTCACCTAGGCCCCAACCTCGGTCTATAAAGACGTGAATAAAACACTAACATAGTTTCTAACAGTTCAGAGCTGCATCCCTAGGATAACTCCGGCCCCTGTAAAATGCCTACTGGCGATGACTCGGGCTGCCCAAAGAATTTGCTGTCTGTTCCAGAGACACCTGGACATACGGCTCCTGTTTGGGTCTCGCATGGACCAAGCTCTCATCCTGCTTTCTGCCATTTCCCACCTCCCTGACTCTACAGATCCTGCCATCCTCGTTCCGCAGCCTCTCTTTCAAACACCAGTCACCTCTGCACACATTAGAGTTGAATTCAGTTCACACTAGTTTCTTTTCCCTATGATGGCACTTTCTACTGATCTAAAGTTATCCAATCCACTTTAACTAATTCCCGAGTTTATCACTGTACAGTCCCTCAGTAAGTTCATGTCTATTTATGGAAATAGAAACCAGATGTTATCTTTCCTTCCTGTTAGCTTGTGAAGCCTTGTGAACCATCTCCTGTATTGACTGACTGGGTTTCCATGCTTTCGGAGAAAAGGTATTTGATAAGAAAATCATAGTTCAGCTGTGACAATTCAATTAGAATTTTTATGAGACCCTTGAAAGATCAAGGTTTGTCTTTCATCCATTTTCTATGGTGCAGAAATTTAAAATGTTTATATAGGCTTTTCCTATATTTACCCTATAAGAGAAAGGATTTTTCTAGAAGTCTGAAATCTCCCTTTTCATGTGAATAGTACTTGGCAATGTGAAATTAGTTTTATAAGCTAGTTCCACCCTTGTCTATTTGCTGACCATCCCTCAAATCACTAACTATATAAGCAACCAAAGCATGTCTACAATGCAAAACTGATTGTGTCCAACACCCACTTAAAATCTTAAATTATTTCCCACTACTCCTGAGGGGGGGAAAAAAATCCTAAGTCCAATACATCTGTAAGGAACATTCTCCCTTGCATGTCTCTCCACTTTGCTCACCAAAGCTAGTTCCTATCCTGGGACAGTCAATATCTGTCCCATCTCTGGGCCTATGCATCACCTGCCATCCTATTTGAAATGCTATTTTCCTTTTACAAGTTGCCAATTCTTCATACTTCGGTCTCAACTACCACCTAATTTCAAACTACAATGTAACAGCAACCAGATTACCGTGTGATATTAACAAATAAAGAGAACTAGAATGATGCCAGGCAGAGAGTAAGCGTGCAGTGAGTGCTGATTGAATATGGAACTGAGATAAAAGAAATTCAGTTTTATATAGCAATCTCTTCCACTACTGGCATGGAAAGAGTTCCAAGTCAGGGTTCGGGTCCTGGAGAAGGGCCGCACACAAATGAAAAGATTTGAGACTTGAAAAAACTTGGCGTTATGAGGGCCAGGCGGTAGTCCAACTCTAGTAGGAGAACTACTACTGCTCTGGCCCTGCCATCCCTTTTATTGAGGCTTTGGGGAAAATATCTTAGGCAACATAAACAGAAATTTACATGTAGCCCTTAGGCAGGAAATAACAGAAACTTACACGGGACAAACAAGGTGGAGGCTGCTTCAGCTGACAATGTCTCAACTAAAGGGTGAGTGGTTAGAGCAATTAAGGTTGTTGACCAGCCTTCCTGGCTTCCTGTCAGCATCTCTTTTTAGTGAAACTGATTTGTTTTCCAGCAGTTCTATCAACTATAGACTGTAGCTAGAGTTCCTTGTGGTGGTCTAAACTGTATGAGGGCATCTAGAATTTGTAGAAGATTCCTCCAAAAACAGCTTGTCGAACGAGTCACCACCATAGTTTCTTAGATGAAGAAACCCTGACACCTAAGAAAGAGGCTCTGTCTGTGTATCCAGTTTTCTCTGAATCCTGAGAGGCTGTCACCCAGGACATGGCTGAGGAGGTCAGGTGGAGTTTAACACGTTAGTTACCCTGGCGGTTCTGACACACCGAAGCTGGAGGACCACGTCCAAGGGAAGGCTGACCCGTTAGTTCGGGAGTGACACCACGCCCTGCTGTCTGAAGAGCTCACCCCAGCCCAAACCCAGACAACACCTTTTGTCTGAAAACTGCACCCATTTGGGGTTCTGCATCCCATGACCATGGGCGGCTGGGGGGCTGGGGGGTGGGGAGTCAGCGTGAGGGGGGGGGGGGGGAGTTCTTCCATGCCACCAAGAAACTCAGTTCTGACACTGTCTCCCTGGTGGTGGCCTCAGGTCCTACAGTGGAGGGCTCAGCCCCGCAAGGCTGCCCCCACAGGTGCCAGCCACAGTCCTGGTTCCTCCCTGCCCTTCTGGCCAACCGGCTGTGAGTCAGAGGTTCAATGAATGTGCTAGAGCAAATCACATGACTCAGGAGACCTGCTCACTCACTAGACTGTCCGTTTCTAACAAAGGACATTAGAGATGAATCAAAACCCAGATGGAGAGACACAGAGGGCGGGGTCTTGAGCAAAGCACTCTGCCCTCGTGGGGATGTGGGCCCTGCCCAGTGGCACAGACGGCATTCTGGCTCCCCACCTGGAAGCTGCCCACACCCTCCCTTTGAGGGTTTTATGAAGCTTCAGCACGCAGGAATGACGGACTGAACCCCTGGCCACTGGTGACAGCATCGCCCTCCAGCCCCTCTTCTCTCCCAGGAGGTCAGGGTGATGGGACTAAAAATCCCAACCCCCTAATTATTTGGCAGGTTCTCCTGACAACCAGTCCCCACCCCGAGGTCCCGTCCGAAGGTCACCTCGTTACCAGAGCAAGACGTCCGTGTGGCTCTCCACGTTTAGGAAATTGCACGGGTCTTAGGAGCTCAGGACGAAGACCAAACAGCTTTCTTGTTATAAAATCGTGGTATCACAAACCGCCTTCAGTGGCATTGTACACAGCCCTGACTCTTGACCATAACCGATTTAGCTTACACAGGAACAGTTAACCAGACCTGGCCAGTGAGAGGCCCTTTCTAGGGATGCAGAGGCACCAGGGGGGCTGGATGGAGGGACATGTGCTTTGGATGTGCGGGGCGACCACACACACAGGCTAGCCCAGCGCCCTGGTCTTCAGAGAGAAGGGTGTGAGGCCTGAGGAGGCAGGGCCTGGGTTCCGGTCAGCCCACTGCCTGGAGCAGGCCTTCCAGGGCCCACCTCACTCCGGCTTTTTCTGTGGCAGCAGCTCAGGTAGATTCCCATTTCTTGTGGCCAAAAGAGAATGAGCACAGGGGGACCAGCCATCGAGCCCTCTGAGGCACCAGGCCCACACAGGTCAGCAGATCTGCCTGTTTTCCTCCAGAAACAATGCTCCATCCACGCGTCCAAGTCAGACCTGATTCCCCCCATGCCCAAGTCTGATTTGCCCCTGGATCTCCCCCCAGCCTGTGTCTGATTTGCCTGAGCACTGGACGTCCTGTGCCCATGCCCGAGGCCACCTCCCAGCACCTGGGCTCTGTGGTGCAATTGCACCCCTGGTGGAGCCCGTTGTTATCCAACTGCACAGCCCCTACTGTCACCCATTTCTTGGCTTCCTCCCCCACAGCACCAACCAAACCCAAACCCTGCTCGCCATGCAGCACCTGCTGGGGACTGATGGGAGCTTGGGCAGTCATTGAGCTTCCTTCCCTGTCCAAATTCACCACCCAGTGAACACCGGCACCTCAAGAGCACTCCCTGAGGAAGCAGAAATGTGGTTACCCCTCACCCCGAAGGGACCCGGATCCCTCGTTACCCACCTCCCTGCGGCCCACCCTCCTGCCGAGACCCCTGGGCGTACCTGGGATATAAACGGTGCCACCATCGCTCCGATGCGACACAGCGAGCCGCTGGTGCCCATCCCCAAGGCGCGCATGGTGGTGGGGTAGACCTGCAGGGAGGCACAGAGCACCGGTTAGTCCCAGCCTTTTCCTTCTCGCCGCTCCTCCCTCCCCAGCTCAAGCTTCGGTGCATGTGGGGTGGGCAAGAGCAGGGAAATCACCAGCCCCCATTACCTAAAAGATAAATCATAAGGAAGCATACTACTACTGCTGCTACTAATACAATAATTAATAAGTCATAATACAAGAATTAACTGTGTTTAGCATACTCACAACTGAAAACCTACTTTTGTCTACACCTGTACATTAAATACCAAATATTCTATATAGGGTATAGAAGACATTCATTTTCTCAGGTACACTACTTTGAATTTTTAAACTTTATAACTATCACAAAAAGAATAAGCACTTAGAAATTATCCTTTAAGTAAGCAAATTTCAAACTATGTATTTTTAATGTATTATTATCGATTTCAGAGAGGAAGGGAGAGGGAGAGGTAGAAACTCAATGATAAGAGAGAATCATTGATCAGCTGCCTCCTGCAGCCCCTATACTGGGATCAAGCACACAACCCAGGCATGTGCCCTTGACCAAAATCAAACCCAGAACCTTTCAGACTGCAGGCCAATGCTCTATCCACTGAGCCAAACCAGCTAGGGCCAAACTATGTGTTTAACTGAATATTCAAAATATAATTTTAGAAAAGCAAGCTCTGGAATCAGACAGATTCCCACTTCAGAGCTAAAAATGCATAAGGACGGTTCTACTGAAGGAAAATACTTCCCAAGCAGTGATTCAAGGAAACCTTAAAGAAGTGCCATCAGAAAGATCGCTGGTTCGATTCCCAGTCCGGGCACATGCCCAGGTTGTGGGTTTGATTCCTGGTTGGGTGCATGCAGGAGGAGATCTATCAATGCTTCTCTCATCATTTTTTCTCTCTCAACCTTGTTTCTCTATCTCCCACTCCCTTCCTCTCTTTAAAATCAATAAAAACATATTTAAAAAAAGAGACAGGGCTGGATACATGCTACACCCTCACCATGTTCTCACTGCAAAAATCTTATGACATAATCTACTTTGTTTCTGCAACTTTCTTACATTTATAGTGAAACCTCATTAATCTGTACCTCATTAGTTCAGAATTATTATAGGAACGGGCAAAAGTTGAATAAGAAAGCAAATGTTATGTAATAAATGAGATCATAGGGAGAATATATAAAAAGGTGATTTTTAAAAACTCTGAGAATTTTCTCTCAATTCTATACAATACTCAGAAAACAGTTTTTACCATTTCGTTAAAACAAAGCACGAAGCCCTTTTTCTAGGCTGTGTCTTGTTAACCGCCATCTATCAAGTGCAAAAGCGAAATGCGTTCCTGCTTCAGCGGCTGCTGCTATGTTTATAGGAGGGGGGGAGATTAGAGGGGTCTCAGGGGAGCTTGCTTGCTTTCTCTAGAAAATGAGGCTGCTGACTGGGCCTGAGAATAACAGATCTGGATACATGGTGATGGTTTTTTCTATATATAACATTAATAAAGTCTTTTGTTCAGATTTTGACAATTCTGGGAGATAGAACAACAAATGATTTTTAAAATAAGTATCAGGGGGGAAAAAACAACTTAGAAAGGACCTTTAAATGAAAACATTCCAAAATGGTAAGCTGAACATTGCAAATATAGCTTTAGGAGCAGAGCATATGGCACGCTGATTCTAAATGCACAAAATCATTTTAGAAGACGTGGTTAATGGAATTAAGTGACGTGTTCGGTATATGCCGAACATCTTATCACTTCCTATCTCCGCTATGGGGGCGGGGAGAACATTTCCCTGTGGCTTTCCTGTCTCTGGCACGTCACGTCTGCAACCTGAACAGCCTTCGTGTTTCCAGGAATGGCAGCAGAGGCCGTTCATCAGTCCCCACAGCTCTTCGTGCCCAGCTCACCGAGGGACAAAACCAGTAAAAGACTACGCTTCCTCCCCAGAAACCGCTCATTTCTGGGCATATCAGTTCTTTAAAGGGAGGGTCAATGAGAGGAGCCTCTGGCCTCCTCAGGCAGGAAGCTACATAGTATCGATAGATGTATCAGTTCAGTAAATTCAGAAAGACTATATTACTATTAAACTTCAATGTACGCTACATGCAGCCAATAAACAACGAAGAGGGTGTGATCTTTCAAAGGAATAAAGGTGAAAAATACATCCCCAACTTCAAAAAGAGGGAAATCGGGAGTTTTACATTTTAAAGGCGACATGCAGCGTGGGCCCTGTTTCTCTGAAGCAGGCGCTGGGACAGGAGTTGTTCTATATGGATGCTGTCCAGGGGAGGGAGGCGGTCCTCAGTTTCTCCTCAGACACTGGCTGGCACTAGACCCAAGGGGGCAGGGGACACTCCCTGTCCAATCAACCTTCTGGCATCCTTTTAGCGGGATGTTTTCAGAAAATCATCAAAAGCCACCAGAAGCCAGGGATGCGTTACCTACGAGTGGACATCCTCTCTGCGCCCCTGAAGGAGCAGACCCTCCCCCGCACTCACCTCAGCAGTGTAGATGTAGATGGTGTTGAAGTTGGCAGCCACCAGCGCCCTCAGCATGAAGAGGAAGCCGATGAGGCCGGCGCTGGGGAACAGAGAGCCAGAGAAAAGTCACCCAAGGCCACGGGCAGGGTCTTCCCCGGCCCCGGCCGAGCGCATCACAGGTGCCATCGCCCACCCCCCGTGACCGGCTGCTTCCCAGCTGGCCCGCTGAGGGGGTCCTAAAGCAGATGCCTGCCTTGAACCTGCAATCCTACTCCCTGACCTCTCCACTCTCCAAAGGGTGCCATTCTAGCCTGGCCCCCACTCCCCCAACATGGTTGGGATAGTTCGTAGAATAAGCGGTTTATGTTGTAACGAAGGCCACTCCAGGGTGGCACATTAAAAGTTAAATGAATTTTCACACCACAGGTATGTGTTGTGTTTTATGTTATGTTATATATCACTAGACCACATGTGTCAAACACAAGGCCCGTGGGCCAAATCCGTCCCGCCAGGCCTTGCAATGTGGCCCGCACCGAGCTGTCATCACTGCACTCCGCTGCGTTTCCATCACAATGACAGTTTATGACTGTTCAGTAAACCGTTCGGCCCGCGATTTAGGCTGGATTTTAGATTTTGGCCCCTTCTCTGATTGAGTTCGACACCCCTACACTAGACTATCTTGGCTTATAGTCAGCGTAATTTGTTAACTAGGAGGGTCCCATTTCTCCAGGAAGCTTGGTCTAAAGATCCTAAATATGTGGGTGAGTGGAGTGAGCGGAGTGAGCAGTCCCATGGTGGGATCCATACCCTGTGATAGCTGAAGAGGCAGGTACCAGTGTAGGTGCCAGGAAAGAGCATTCTAGGCAAACAAGCAGCCCATTCTCTCCTCTCCTGGTGAAAGGGACTTGACCCTGACCCCCAATGAACTCTTCGTTAGAAGACCCCATCAAAACTGGACTATTTTGAAGCAAGCAGAGAGGAAATACCTTGACGTGCAAATATTCAGGAGGAGGAAGAACAAGGCTGTGCAGCCCATGGTGATGGACAGGCTCCGCCGTCTGCCCAGGAAGTTAATGCCCAGGATGTTCAGAGGGTTCACTGGAGAGCAAACGACAAAGACCATTTCTGGAACCTCGGGAGGGTGCACCGGTTCCTCCTCATTTCAGGAAGCGGCAGCTTCACAAATGGTGTGTGTATTCCAGCCGAGACCGTCACACGCATCAACCTTCGACATCCTTTCCCCACGTGGGTCCAAGAATGACAAGCGCCGGTGCGCATCAAGGACTTCTCAGGCCCGGGTGCTCACCATGCAGGTCTGTTGTAAACTGCCTACTTGCTAGGCCTATATTTTAGGCCAAAATGTTGTGTATGGTTTTTCATCAAATTCAAGGTGTCATTGAAATTTAAGGACCATTATTTTATGTCTACTAGGACAGAAACAGTGCAGCAAGTTAAAATCTAACATGCCATTGTAAGATGCACCCCAGTTTCAGAGATGTTACAATGTGAAGAAAGCCTGGCTGGCGTGGCTCGGTGGTTGAGCACTGACCTATGAATCAGGAGGTCACATTCGATTCCAGTCAGGGCACAGGGCCAGGTTTGGGCTCATTCCCCCTTGTGTGATGTGCAAGAGGCAGCCGATCAATGATTCTCTCTCATCATTGAGGTTTCTCTCTCTCCCTTCCTCTTTGAAATAAAAAAAATACATATTTTTTTTAAATGCGAAGAAAAAATACATCTTAAAATGGACAGGATTTTGTCATTCAAAGCTCTGCTCCTCCAGACTTCTCCCCACCCGAAACCACAGGGGCGGCTGTCAGCATGATCTGGGGCAGTGGTCGGCAAACTCATTAGTCAGCAGAGCCAAATATCAACAGTACAATGACTGAAATTTCTTTTGAGAGCCCAATTTTTTAAACTTAAACTTTTTCTAATGCCACTTCTTCAAAATAGCCTCCCCCAGGCCGTGGTATCTTGTGGAAGAGCCACACTCAAGGGGCCAAAGAGCCGCATGTGGCTCTCGAGCCGCGGTTTGCCGACCAACAATCTGGGGAGTTGCTCAGTTCTGCCAGGTGGGAGCCAAGTCTACGGAGGGTCACACTTCTCCCCTTCAGGGTCAAGTTGCCTGTCTCCCCCCCCCCCCCCCACCCCAAAAAAAAAGAGAGAGGCCCCACACGCAGAGACACTTACAGGCAATTTCACCGACGGTGCTGATGATCATGGTCCGGTAGTCAGAGGGGGCAAACATGTGGCAGTAACAGGGGCTCCGGCTCTCCTCTGAGACCCCCACGCTCACCACCACCTCGGACTCAGACCTCGAACCACAGACCAGGTCCCGCTCCAGCAGCTCGGTGCTGGCCAGGATGACCCCGTAGTAGGCGAAAGAGATGCCCAGCCTGGGAGTGAGGAAAGACAGACATGAGAAAAGTGGGTGCCACAGAGAGCTGCAGGGAGATGTGAGAGGGCTGGGGGGGTGGGGGTGGGGGGAGGGACATTAAGGGGAGGGGAGAGCAGGAGGAAAGGGCAGGGAAGCAACCCCAGCTCATATATCTGGGAGACTGGGGGACCGGAAGCCACACAGTGGGAAACAGATTTGCAAGATCTGGGTTAGGAGGACCCTGTAAGCCCAGTGACGGAGTCTGAAGCCTAGATTCGTTTTCTGTCGCTGCTGCAATGAGTTCGCACACACTTTGCGGCTTAAAACAACACACGGCCAGTGTGTTGTTTTAATCACAGCTCTGCAGGCCGGAAGTGCCCTGGGTCTGGCTGACTCCTCTGCTCCAGGTCTCAGAGACAAACATGAGAGTGTAGGCAGGTCCGAGGCCCTTCTGGGGGGAGAATCCATTTCCCAAGCTCACCCGGATGGCTGGCAGGATTCAGCCCCGTGGGGCCGGAGAACTCGAAACGGTTTCCTCGCTGGCTGTTGACCGGTTGTTCTCCGCGTCTCCCTGCTCCCCTCACTCCCCGACTTCAAAGCCAGCGGCACGGGGTCGAGACCGTCTCATGCCCTGAATCTCTCTGTCCTCTCCTTCCGCCTCTCCTGTTTTCTCTCCTCCAGCTCTCTGCCCAGCTGGACACAGTTCTCTGCTCTTAAGGACGCAAGTGATTCGATGGGGCCCACCTGCCGGGTCCGAATCCTCCCATTTTAAGGCCCTGATCTCAATTACATCCTCACATCAGCACCTGAATTAGTGTTTGATCGCTTCAGCAGGAGTGGGGGTCATCTTGGGGTCACTTTAGAATTCTGCCTAGCGCAAAGGGCCTTTCGCAGGCTGTGATGAGCCACGGACGGTTCTTGTGTTTGCTTTATATTTTCTCCCCACTCTTCGGTAGATTAACTTTTCTGTGTGTTATTTTTATATCTCATTAAAGACATCTATTCAAGAAAAAAAAATATCAGCCTCCCAGTTTTTCAGAAATGGTTGCAAAAGCCAGCTGAAAAAGACATGTGGGGACAATCGGAGGAAATCATGTATGTCCTGGGTATTGATTGGGTGAGAGTAACCTGAAGATCATTACTCTTGTCAGTGTGATTACAGGATTGTAGTCATCTCAGACTGTGGTCGGCAAACTGCGGCTCCCAAGCCACATGCGGCTCTTTGGCCCCTTGAGTGTGGCTCTTCCACAAGATACCACGGCCTAGGCGAGTCTATTTTGAAGAAGTGGCATTAGAAGAAGTTTAAGTTTAAAAAATTTGGCTCTCCAAAGCTGCAGGCTCCACCCTAAAACTCCGTCCCATCTGTAACTGCGAAATGCGACAACAAAATAGATCACAAACGAAAGAAATGGAGGACAAAAAGCGTCTGGATATAGAGTTCAAATCTACGCTTATAAGGTTTTTCAAGAATTTCCTAGAAAAGATGGATAAGGCCTATGAGGATATGAAAAGAGATCAACTAGAATTAATAAGGAGTCAACAAGAAATGATAAGGGATCAACAAGAAATAAAGAATACATTGTCTGAAATAAAAAATATTTTATAGAGTCCTAAAAACAGAAGGGAAGATCGCAAGAATCAAGTAAAAGATTTGGAACATAAAGAGCCAGAAGACACTCCTCCACAGAAGCTAGAAGGCAAGAGAATCCAGAAAATTGAAGATAATGTAAGAAACCTCTGGGACAACTTCAAGCGAACCAACATCAGAATTATGGGGGTCCCAGAAGATGAGAGAGAGCAAGATATCGAAAACATACTGAAAGAAATAGTGACAGAAAACTTCCCCCACCTGGTGAAAGAATTAGACTTACAAGTCCAGGAAGCACACAGAACTCCAAACAAATGGAATCCAAAGAGGACCACACCGAGACACATCATTATTAAAATTCCAAGAGCAAAAGACAAAGAGAGAATATTAAAAGAAGCAAGAGCAAAGAAGGTAGTAACCTATAAAGGAGCACCTATACGATTGTCAGCTGACTTCTCAACAGAAACCATGCAGGCCAGAAGGGAATGGCAAGAAATATTCAAGGTGATGAATAGCAAGAACCTACAGCTAAAAATAATCTACCCAGCAAAGCTATCACTCAGAATCAAAGGCCAGATAAAGAGCTTCACTAATAAAAAAAAAGCTAAAGGAGTTCATCACCGCCAAACCAGAATTATATGAATTGCTAAAGGGGGTTCTTTCAGAAGAGAAAGTAAACAAAGATAAAAATTATGAACAACAAATACGTAATTATCAACAAGTGAATCTAAAAACCAAGGAAATTAAAAAAATCTGATGAACAATATTAACTGTTGAATATAATAGAATCAGAGGTATGGAAGGGGAGTGAACTGACGATTCTTGGGGAAAAGGGGAGAGGGGGGCGTAGGAAGAGACTGAACATAAACTGTGCACCTATGGATGAGGACAATGGGAGAGGGGAAAGGGCAGAGGGTGGGGTGCGAACCTGGTGGAGGAGAGCAATGGTGGGGGGGAAAGAAAGGAACATTTGTAATAATATGAACAATAAAAACTTATTAAAAAAAATTTGGCTCTCAAAAGAAATTTCAGTCACTGTACTATTGATATTTGGCTCTATTGACTAATGAGTTTGCCGACCACTGAAGGAAACACCCTCAAGTAGTTGAGCCTTAGTGAGCTATCTGGGGATGAAATGTCAGAAGCCTGGGGCTTGAAAACACTTCAGCACAGGAAAATGTAGCTGCGGCTAAGGGTGAATTTCCATGACCATCAGATCTGGGTGATGAGTGAACCCAAGTTCATCCAATATCCTCTCTACTTACACATGTTTAGAAACTTTCATTATTAAATATTTAAAAAGAAAATCAGCCGAAACTGGTTTGGCTCAGTGGATAGAGAGTCAGTCTGCGGACTGAAAGGTTCGATTCCGGTCAAGGGCATGTACCTTGGTTGCGGGCACATCCCCAGCAGGGGTGTGCAAGAGGCAGCTGATGGATGACTCTCTCTCATCGATGTTTCTAACTCTCTATCTCTCTCTCTTCCTCTCTGTGAAAAATCAATAAAATATATTTTAAAATAAATAAATAAATAAATAAATAATTAATTAAAAAAAGAAAAAGAAAACAATCAAAATGTCTCCCTTTGTTATTAAAGTTGCTTTAATTTGGCTGATCTCCAAATACTAACAGTATTTAAACATTTTTAAAGGGTCAAGGAGAGACATTATTAATAATGATTATAGCAGAAGGAGGCCGATAGACAACCATTGTCCTGAATTCATCCTAAATATTCGTTTTGCCTATTTCCTATCTTTATATAAGTGGGATCACATCATATGCATTGCGTTTCTGGTTTCCTTTGCTTGTTATTATATATATTATATATATATAAAATTGATTTTTTTACAGAGAAGAAGGGAGATAGAGAGTTAGAAACATCAACGAGAGAGTCATCAATCAGCTGCCTCTTGCACACCCCCTACTGGGGATATGCCCGCAACCAAGGTACATGCCCTTGACTGGAATCGAACCCGGGCCTCTTCAGTCCCCAAGCCGACGCTCTATCCATTGAGCCAAACCGGTTTCGGCTGCTTGTTATTACCTTTATGAGATTCAGCTGTTGAGTGTTGACCCTAGTTTTCTCATCTTCATTATTGTATAGTATTCCAGTCTATGAATATAAAACAATGTATCCATTATGTTGTTGAGGGACATGGGGTTGTTTGTAGTATGGGCCTGTGACAAATAATGTGCTGGACATTCATGTAAATGTCTTTTGGTAAATGTATGTATGCATTTCTGTTGGGTATGAGCCCATGAGGGGAATTGCTGAGCCATAGGATATGTATATTTTCAATTACGATAGATTTTTCCAAACAGTTTTCCAACATGGTTGTACTACCTTGAACTCTAATCAGCAGTGAATGCAACAGTCCCTGTGACCTTACATCCACCCGACACTTGGTCCCGTCCGTCTTTAAACTCGGCCGTGTCGGTGGATTTGTAGTGGTGAACCAGACTTCCAAGGGTTAGAAAGTGAGGTCCTATGTTGAGATGAAAAATAAAAACACTGTGGACAATTAGGATTCTTTTCTTTCTCTCCTTCTTTTAAATGGTTACTTATTTCTTTGGTTGGTGGTATTAGTAAAAAGATAAGATTGCTGGAGTCTTCCTTGTGTTTTTCTCCCCAGTAGCATTTTGAGTAGATTTACTTTGGTAAGCTTTCTATAAAACTCATTTTGATATAATTACATTTCAAAAAATCCTTAATCTAGGATAGGCTTTTTAATTAAAAAAATTTTTTTGAGAGAGAGAGAGAGAGAGAGAGAGAGAGAGAGAGAGAGGAAGGGGAAAAGAGAAAAAGAGAAACATCAATTGGTTGTGTTCTATATGTGCCCTGACCAGGAATCGAAACTGCAACCTTTTGATTGATACAAGAAGATACTCCAACCAATGAGCCACCAGCCAGGGCTGAAGTAACTCCATTCCTACCAGATGACCCAGATCTGTAACGTGGTCCGCAGATATTTTGCATCCAGCAGGTCTGCAAACCTTCCTCTTCTATCCTAGGGCAGTGAAAAGAGGGAAACAGAATAGATTTAGTGGGTGAAGGGCAAGTAAAGATATCTCTAATATTTTAGATATTAAATACAAGCAACATATTTTAAAACAAGGACAACATGGGATGTGGGGAGGTGAAATAACCACTGAAATCCTATGAGTACATTCCACCCAATCCCATAATCATTTTTTAAAAATATACTTTTATTGATTTTTTTACAGAGAGGAAGAGAGAGAGAGAGAGAAACATCGATGAGAAAAACATTGATCAGCTGCCTCTTGCACACCCCCTACTGGGGATGTGCACACAACCAAGGTACATGCCCTTGACTGGAATCGAACCTGGGACCTTTCAGTCCGCAGACCGACACTCTATCCTAGGGGTGTCAAACTCAATCAGAGAAGGGGCCAAAATCTAAAATCCAGCCTAAATCGCGGGCCGAATGGTTTACTGAACAGTCATAAACTGTCATTGTGATGGAAACGCAGCGGAGTGCAGTGATGACAGCGCGGTGCGGGCCACATTGCAAGGCCTGGCGGGACGGATTTGGCCCGCGGGCCTTGTGTTTGACACATGTGCTCTATCCATTCAGCCAAACTGGTTTCGGCCCCATAATCATTTTTAACACATGCATCCCAGCCAGTCTTTGCACACTTATTTTCATTGGCAGGTACCCTAAGTCGTGGAATTTATGATTCTAACACTTTCATTCATCCTCTTCTCACTGGTGTAGAACATAGGAAGATACATGAAAACAACCATAAAATTGACGGGAGATTCTTTATTATTAACATTAAGATGAAAAACCTAACATTCACAAAGGGTGTGCGGCTTTTATAAGGAAAAAATGTCATAAATTTTTATAAGAGAATAGAAGATGGGTTTCTTTTTGTTTCTTTAGGGAAATTAGCAAACGTTCTCATCCACAGTTAGTACCTATTAAGTACTTTTGCATAAAAATAAACGAGGATGAGTTCCATATTATTGACAGCAATGGGTTTTATGTAGAGTTAGGGAAACTTTGGGGGTTCTCAGCTGAAACCAATCACTCTTTTCTTACAAATAGACCTGGAATCAAAGGGCTCTTGAGAGAGACCAGGAGTGTGGTCTGGGAGTCCAGGATATGTCTCTCTCTCTCTCTCCCTCCCTCTCTCTCTCTCTCTCTCTCTCTCTCTCTCTCTCTCTCTCTCTCTCTCTCTCTCTATTGATCTCAGAGAGAAGAAGGGAGAGGGAAAGAGAGAAACATCAACAACGAGGTGGTGGGAGGGTGAAGAAGGTGGAAAGGTGAGGGAGAGGTTGTGTGAACTGGCACTGAGCCTGGCACTGAGCGCCTGCAGGTGGGTGAAGGGGTGTCTGGGCCGGTGTGTGGAAGGAACGCAGATTTCCCTGAGGGTCCTGAACCAGTAGGATTTAAACGCCACATTTTGGTGTGTTTTTTTTTTAAGCATTTGATGAAGTTTGTAACTGATATCAAAAGAAGATGAGGCCCGTACAAGAAAATTAAATCTTAAACCAATCTCTCATCTATCAATATAAACAACGGTGCCAATCCTGTGACTGCCTCGGCAAGGCAGGTGTGATTGTGCCCATTGTATCGACGAGGAAAGCGGAGGGAGGTAACTGACCAGGGCTCCCTGCCGGATCCAGTCCCATCGCTCTGCTCTTGTCGCTGTTCCCTCCAGGGGCAGGCCTGGAGCCCGATGGCCCCTCCCCGCCAGCCTCCCACGACTAAGGGGGTTCCGGGTGGTCCCTGCGCGGGGAGAAGACCGCCCTCCGGGCACTCACCAGGACGGGCTCCACCAGCTGCCCCTCGGGCATGGCCGAGCGGTTCACCCTGGCGATGTGCTGCAGCGTAGCCAGGGCGGCCTGCGTGTTCCCGGTGGAGACGTTGAACCGGGCAGATTCCGGGATAAACTGGGCACAGAGGACAAAGAACAGGAGAGCGGCGGCTGCTGGGAACCCAGGGGCACGACTGTTGTCTCCATGTGCGGACCACACCGTCCCCTTCCCAGTGACGGGAAAGGGTGTGGCGAGCGGAAGGGCACACAGCAGAGCGGGCATCCCCCGTGGGAGGTTGCATTCTCCTTCTCAGACCGTGTCACCTTAGACAACAGCAGGCTCCGTTCCAACTGGGCTCGGCATACTTGTTAATGCGATGAAATCCTTGTCTCATTGGTAACTATGTCCCCCCACCCCACCCCCCAGGCCCCCTGTGCGCCCCCTCCCTGCTCTGCCACCCCAGGCCTCTGCAGGAACCCCAAGACCTCCCCACAACGCAACAGACCACGGCAGAAAGCGCCTCCAGCACCTACAAGGGCCTCCTGAACGCCCAGGCCCTCACCCCACTGAGGGTTGAAAACTTTGACCACCACCCTCAGCATCAGCACAGGCCTCCACGGAACCTGGGACCTGGAGAGTCAACCTGGCCTGCTCCCGCCCCCTCCTGCCTCACGCCCAGTCCAGGCTGGTCGGTGCTTCCTCAGGAGAACATCCCGCAGGCGGCACCTCGCTCCCCGTTCCCACAGCCAATGGGCGGCTCGGACCCTCCTCCCCTCCCGCCAGGAGTGTCCAGACAGTTTTTTTCTTTCTTTAAAAAAAAAAAAAAATTTTATTGATTTTTTACAGAGAGGAATTAAGAGGGACAGAGAGTTAGAAACGTCGATGAGAGAGAAACATCGACCAGCTGCCTCTTGCACACCCCCTACTGGGGATGTGCCCTTGACCGGAATCGAACCCGGGACCCTTCAGTCCTCAGGCCGACGCTCTAGCCACTGAGCCAAACCGGTTTTGGCTGTCCAGACACTTTCTAACAGCCTTCCTGCCCTCTGCTGCCCAGGCTCCATCCAGCATTGAGCCAGCTGCCCAGCCCAGAACCCCTCTGCCACCCCCAGAGCCCCTGGCCTGTGAGGCTCTTCCTGACCTGGACACAGGCCTGTCTCCCCAGCACCCGGCTCCTCAGCACCCCTCTCCCCAGCACCCCTCTCCCCAGCACCCCTCTCCCCAGCACCCGTCTCCCCAGCACCCCTCTCCCCAGCACCCCTCTCCCCAGCACCCATCCCCCCAGCACCCCTCTCCCCAGCACCCCTCTCCCCAGCACCCCTCTTCCCAGCACACCTCTCCCCAGCACCCCTCTCCCCAGCACCCCTCTTCCCAGCACCCATCCCCCCAGCACCCCTCTCCCCAGCACCCGTCTCCTCAGCACCCCTCTCCCCAGCATCCCTCTCCTCAGCACCCCTCCCCCCAGCCACCCGCCTCCCTGCTCTCCCCCAGACACATTCTGTGCGTTCACACCCTCGGACAGGCCTTGCTCGTTAGCCCTGCCGCCATGCTTATTGAGACGGAGCCTTAAATAAAGGGAAGAGGGGGGAAGGGACCCAAAGGCCACTGGACCACTGGAGGGAGGGATGGAGGGAGCCCAGGGAGCCTCCTCACCTTGAAGGCCAAGATGAGGATGATGCCGGGAATGGAGGCGATGCGGATGAGCCAGCGCCACCCGATGGTGGGGATGACCACAGAGGCCAGGCCGATGATGAGCAGGGAGCCCGCAAGCCAGAACACCTGGGCAAGAATGGAAGATGAAATCCCTCCTCACAAACTGGCTTCAGACTTCCTCTCTCTCAGGAGCTGCCCTGCCCAGCATTTTACCGAAGGAAGAGGTGAGAGGGAGAGAGGGTCTTTCACTGAGGAGCCCACGTTCTGGTTCCACTCAGGGCCTGGCTGACTGGGGCAGGGATTTCACTGCTCGTGGCTTTGTTTGCTAGCCTGAGTGGGGGACTCCTAGACGGAGGGTCAATAATGTCACCAAAGTTTTAAAGATCTGGCACCCCAGACCTTGGCTTTTATTTTCTCAAATAAGCAATTCACTGGTTCAGAATTCAAGGTACGAAGGAGAACACTATAAAAAGGGTTTCTTCTCTACTTCCCTGACACCAATTTCTCTCCTCGGAAAGGACCTGTGTTCGGTTTGTCACATATTCCTAACGCAGTTCTAAATATGTACAAGCTAATAAGAGTGTAGTATTATGCTCTTCTCTTTTTTCACAAATGGTCACATAGTATAACTAATGCTTACACTTTGCTTTTCACACTAAACATATAACTTGGAGATCATTTTATATCAATGAATCACATGGCAGCCAATTACCAGCCGGCCTCATTGGTTGGGAATTAGGACAGTTCTGAATGTTCAGCCTGAACATTATTTCCACTTGGGAAAATGGAGAATAAATGATCATTCTATTCCACCTCACAGAGATGGAGAGAGGGTAATATTCTAAAAGATTCCTTGGGGGACTACTTAGGGGTGACTATTTCATCAACAAGAGATTCTACTGCAAAAATGCAAACAAGAGCTGAAACCGGTTTGGCTCAGTGGTAGAGCGTCGGTCTGCGAACTGAAAGGTCCCGGTCAGGGGCATGTACGTTGGCTGTGGGCACATCCCTGGTAGGGGGTGTGCAAGAGGCAGCTGGTTGATGTTTCTCTCTCATCTGACATTTCTAGCTCTCTATCTCTCTCCCTTCCTCTCTGTAAAAAATCAATAAAATATATTTTTAAAAAAATGCAAACAAGATGATCTCAGGTAGTGATCAGGGACAACCTTTCTGAAGAGACAATAGATAGGAAGGGCAGTAACAAAGCATTGCATAGACCAGGGGGCAGGTGACATGGCATTGGAGAGGATTTTAATAATGAAATGACAAAAAAATTAAATGTTTAACTCATGGATATGACACACATTTTGGAGGCCAAGGGGCCAGGACTGATGGACATTGTGACTGAGGACCCATTATAGGGGACAAGTCAGTAGGGCTTGGCAATTCCTTAAATAGAAGTAAGGGAAAGGGAGGGGCCAGGGATGATTCTTGAGTGTGTGGCTCAGATGACTGAGGGACAGGATTTGCTATTAACTGAAAGCAAGTGAGAGTCTTCAGAGGAAGAAGAAGAAGAGATTAGTTCTACGAATGTTGTATTTGAGGAACACGTAGGATATTCAAGTTGTTATCAGGTAACTGGTCATCTGGGTCAGAAATTCCAGGAGGTGCTCCTGGCGGTAGATAAGACTTTGGGGGGTCATAAGCACATAGTTAGCTAACCACATAGGAGTGAATTAATGACCCAGAGAGACCTGGAAAATAAGACAAGCAGGGAGAATGCATAACCAGGAAGCCTGCTAAGGACTGAGTGGGTGGGTGCAAGAAGCAACGCCCACAGAGCAGGGCCATACCAAGGAAATCATGTTAAATGTCAAAACAAAACAAAACAAAAAAAACCCAACTCCTAAGTATGAAAAGTGTGTGTGTCCACCTCAACAGCGATCAGAGGAAGAAGTCTGGGGGGAATGTAAAGAACTATTTACTGTTTGTTAAGTTTCTAATTTGTTGTTGTTGCCTAAATTTAGTATCAGGAACATTAAAAATAAATGTAAAAGCAGTGTCCTACTACTTTACTGTTGTCTTTCTCCTGGGACCTCTGAAAGGCCAGCGCCTTTGGACAAGGGTGGCATCGACAGCGAGGCTAGAGCACGTAGGTTGCCGTGGCCGCTCCTCAGTGGCCAGCAGGCCGGAGGGGCGGGAGAGCACCCCCATCCTCTCCCGGGACAAATGGCTCGTCACGGGGGCTGCAGCGAGGCATGGCCCCCCAGCCGGGGTCGGTGACAGACACTAGTGTCCTGAGGAGGGAGGTGAGATGCCCTAAAGGGGGTGGTGGCTATGTCCCTCCATAGAGCATGTGCATTGCAGATGTGTGCCTGGGCTCCTGGCATTCCAGTGAGGTCAGCTATGCTGTGCTCTCCGCACTGCTGCGGGGGACAGAGTCCTGGCTCAGGGACCTCGGGGCCTCTGCTGCCCAGCATTCCAAGCAACAGACAGTGGACCCACCCTACGAGCAGCCAAGCAGCCAGAAGGAAATCCTGGAACCCCGTATTCTCGCGGTGCAGAAGCCTGGGCAGAGGTCCTATTTACCTTACCTGGGACAAGGGAAGCATGTAGCCTCGGTATTTGGTGGGCAAAAATTCAGTCTTGATGATCAGCCTACACAGGAAGGAGAGAAAACATCATTTTGTTTTTATTTTTTTTAAATATATTTTATTGCCGAAACCGGTTTGGCTAAGTGGATAGAGCATCAGCCTGCGGACTGAAAGGTCCTGGGTTCGATTCCGGCCAAGGCCATGTACATTGGTTGCGGGCACATCCCCGGTAGGGGGTGTGCAAGAGGCAGCTGGTCGATGTTTCTCTCTCATCGATGTTTCTAGCTCTCTACCCCGCTCCCTTCCTCTCTATAAAAAATCAATAATATATATATTTTATTGATTTTTTACAGAGAGGAAGGGAGCGGGATAGAGAGTTAGAAACATCGATCATCGATGAGAAACACTGACCGATAAACACTGATCGATGACTCTCTCTCAGTTGTCCTTGATATGTCTTCATCTGGCTGTTCATTTGCATCCTCTGAAATAGCCTTCGTCATACACAGTCCTCTCACAATAGTAGTAAGCTGCTTTCCTGGGTTTTGCCAGAAAATCCTCAAACCTGGGAAGGGGTTTGCAGGAACTTTCGGTTTGTAGCCACGTCAGCCAGCAGCGGTGGCTAAGTGGTGTTGGCAGTGGGGCTGGCATCTGTGGGAACCGCACGAACTCTGCTGAGCGCTAGAATGAACTGTGGGGCATCCAGCTGGCGCCAGAGACTTGCTGGTGTGGGGAAAATCCACACAGCTGGTGTCAGAAGTGAAGTGTTGTCAGAAATAGTGAGGGCAAGCATTAAAGGAAAACAGAAGAGAGTTTCCTAGACAATCATACATCAAAATACAATTGTCACAGCTGTAAAAAAATAATATAAACGAAGCCGCTTCCGAGTAGAGTTGGAATCCTGGCTTTTCTGGGTTCAGTGGTTAGAGCATTGGCCCATTTACCCAAGGGCTGAGAGTTCAATTCCTGGTCAAGGGCACACACCTGATGGTTGGGGTGCCTGCGGGAGTCAACCAATCGATGTGTCTCTCTCACAATGATGTTTCTCTTTCTCTCTCTCTCCCCCCCTCCCTCCTCCCCTCCCACTATCTCTAAAAATAAATGGAAAAGAACATTATCTCTGATAGCAAGCAAACAAACAATCAAACAAAATGGAGTCTGAGCTGCCTCCCCAGACAACTACCTTGTACGCCTTCTCAAACCTCTGGAATGTTAAAAATGGGCAAAATGACCTTTGGACTGTGCCTGAAGCACTACTGTATTCCAAACAGCTGCTTGCAAAGATAACAGGAAAGCATAAAATTCAAGTCATTCTTCAGAATTAGTCACTCTATCAATGTATCTGCACCCGTAGAAATTCCTTCATTAGCTTATCTGCAGCCATAGAAATTTTTTCCTTCTAGTCACATAGTAATTCCCCTTCCCCTTCTCACAAATACGCCCTTGTCTTCAGCTCCCAATTGGAACCCTGGGTTTTTGCTGGGATTGGTGCTTCCTGAATACCTATTTTCTTGGCTCAAATGAGCATTTGTAGCCTGTCACTGTGCTTTTTATCTTTAGATTAATACAGCTAAGATCCACACAAGAAAACAAGAAGTAAACGTAAAAACTGCTCTTCTGTTTATACTTTTATTCCTGATGTTATATGAATACTTGTATGCCCAACATTATTAAAAGTCAAAGCTATTGAATTTTCAGTTATCTCTTACTATTTAAGAGGCATTAGCCTATCTCTTTTGCCAAGAGAAATGTTGGGAATACATTTTCCCAAGTCTGAATTGCTATTCTAAAAAACACTTTGGAAATGAAAATACCACCAAGAGCAGATAGTTCCCTCCATGAATAATGACAGTCAAAGCACAGTTTCTAATTAAGTATGTATTAATTCTGAGAATAGAAGAATACATGAACTCATATCCCATCATCTTTCTAGTTGTCCTTCTCTATTGCAGTTATTGGCAAGGGTTAGTTTTTAACGTGGGCATTCACTGGGTGTCCTCTGAGGGACGCTTTAACATTTCACTGACTTTACTCTTTCGGGACTCATGCCCAGGAAAGAACAATTTCTCCCCCACCGCAGTAAGGTAGCGGGCTAGGTGCTCTGAAGTCTCCTAATCTATCCTAAGGGCACTTGTTCCCAGGCACCAGGAGAGAATAGCCTGAGAGACCTGTTAATGTAAGGGAGGCTCCCAAATTGCTGAAAATTTAGCATCACCCCATTCACACACAAACACATGTGCACGCACGCATGATACTGCACACTCATCCCAGGGTATCTTTCAGGGCCGCACGCCCTGCTCTGCAAATTGGTTTGACAAAGTCTTAAATTACAGGGCACTGGCACTTTTAAACGGTCATTCCTAAATGTTCCAGGTGCTTATGGCCAAACTGAACTCTTCCAACAAATCCAAGAAAGGAATAGGTTGTGTTTGGGTGGACATTTTTGTTTCTGTCGTCATATGCCATGCTTTGTTTAGCATTTAGTCTAACAAAATAGTATGTATCTAAAAAAAAAAAAAAAAAAAAAAAAAAAAAAAGAGCAACCTCAGGAACAAAAAAGTTAACCCGCGCTAAATACAGCAATCTGCTGGCCTGACCATCAAACACCGTTTGGACGGGCCAATAGCAACCAATAAGATAAGATGCCATCACTTAACAACAAAAATGTCGAAAATAATTTGCACAAGTGAAGTCGATAAATTTGCAACTTATCGATGGTACCACCAGCCCTCATGATCTAAAAGATAAATCATAAGTAAGGATACTACTACTACTACTACTACTAATAATAATAACAATACAATAATAGGTGAAGTCTTTACCCTTGTGAATGGCCAGACACGCCGCAGCCCACCATCATCCGCAGGAAGACAAACCAAACGTACGAGGGAGAGAACGAGGTCAGCAAGGAGAAGTAGGCTCCCCACACGAATGAGAGGAGCAAAATCTGAAGCAACAAAAAGAAAGTTATTAATGGGACCTGCCTCCATTGAAGACAGAGGAAAAGGTAATTTTTTTATTTCCGTCCAGGTTTTTGCTCCCCTGAGGGACCGGCCTAACAGCGAGCCCATTGATCTCCCCCAATCATCCAATACCAGCCGTGATGCTCTACATTGTCCGAAAGCCCAGACATTTCGTGGACGCAAAGACCTCCCACCCTGCAGAGACTTTTTATGAGTTTATTTGAGGCAAACCAATGACATCTGCTGGGGAGCAAGATCGCAAACGTTCTGGGGAATGACAGCGGTGCGGTTCCTTTTGGAATTAAGGAGGAAACCTAAGGAAGATTCTGCGGAGGTCAGGGAAAGCAAGGCGGGAAATCTCTAAGGTTGGATTGCAGGATAGTTCTGTGCTCACTGAGAGTGCCTGTGACTTGCTCGTCGCCAAGGATCTGATATTTCGGAGGGTGTACCTAGGTGCCCAGGAACAGGGACAGGGCTGGCTTAGGGAAGTGACAGGCTGAGAGCATGACTGCCCACCATGACCCACCCAGCTAGGAACTGATGACCACATCACCCTGTGAGGTGACTTTTGTTCACTGGCCTTGTCACATTTATTAGAGCCCCTATTTCACTCACAATTCTTTGTTTGTTTGTTTTAATAATTATTTTCCAAATTTATTTATTGATTTTAGGTAGGAAGGAGAGAGAGAGAGATCTGTTGTTCCATTTATTGATGCATTTATTGGTTGACTCTTGTATGTGCCCTGACTGGAGATCGAACCCACAACCTTGGTGTTTGGTATACAGGGACAATGCTCTAACCAACTGAGCTACCCACCCAGGGCCCATTCACAATTCTGAGTTTAGACCATTCTTTGAAATTCCCCAACTGCATTGAGAATGCAGAAGTGTGCCCTCCCTGCTCACAAGAATGTCAGGAGCACAGAAAACATTGTGTGGGAGTTGGGTATAAGGAGAAAACTTAAGGTATTTTCTCTAATTGTAAGAATAACACAAGTTCATAGTACAAAATATGGAAGAAAAAGCCTCGCCAGCCTGGCTCAGTAGTTGAGCATCGACCTATGAACCAGTCGACTGGTCACGGTTCGATTTCTGGTCAGGGCACATGTCCGGATTATGGGCTCAGTCCCCAGTGCAGGGCATACAGGTAGCAGCTTATCAGTGATTCTCTCTCATCACTGATGTTTCTATCTCTCACTCCCTTCCTCCCTGAAATCAGTAAAAAATATATTTTAAAAAAACCTATTTGCTAGTAAAATAAATCACCCTTAATTCTCCAACCCAGAGAAAATATTTTTAACATGATTTTATCCAATTTCCCGTTTCTTAAAAAAAATGTTTAATTGATTTTGAGAGACAGAGAGAGAGGAACATTGACTTGTTGTTCCAGTTATTTATGTATTCCTTAGTTGATTCTTATATGTGACCTGACCAGAGGTTGAACCCACAACCTTGGTTTCTTGAGATGACACTCTAACCAACTGAGCTGCCTGGCCAGAGCCAAAAAACCTATGTTTAATGACTGTAAAATAGTCCATTGGAAAGATGCACTGTAATGCATAAACTTTTCCCCGCCATTGAATATTGAAGTGATTTCACATTTTCTATAAAAATGAGCTGTGATGATGAATGCACATAAATCTTTGCAGTTCTCCAATGATCTAAACAGACTAGATTTCTGGAATGACAAATGTCAGATGAGGAGGATGGATATTCTCAAGGCTCTTGATCTGCCAAACTAACGGTCAGAAAAACTATACCAATAGTATGCAAGGGCATCCATACACGTGTACGTTTCTTAGAGAAAATTTCCTTTTAAATTTGATGTTTGAAATAGACTAGATAAGAAAAAAATTATAGCCCTAACCGGTTTGGCTCAGTGGATTAAGCATCGGCCTGCAGACTGAAAGGTCCCAGGTTCAATTCAGGTCAAGGGCATATACCTTGGTTTCGAGCACATCCCCAGTAGGGGGTGTGCAAGAGGCAGCTGATTGATGATTCTCTCTCATCAATGTTTCTAACTCTCTATCCTTCTTCCTTCCTCTCTGTAAAATATCAATAAAATATATATTTTTTAAAGAAAACTGTTATATCTAGCTTTTGAGGATATAGATGGTGCTTCAGGTGTACTGTCTAACTCAGTAACCAGGAGAGAACCACGAGCCTCAAATTCCTCACGAAGGCACACACCATGGCGGCTAGCCTCCTCACCTTCTGCAGAATTCTATTGTAAATTAAAGGTCAATGATTCCAGAACATTGTCTGTTCTCTCACTATCCACATAAATATGCATCGCAAACAGTTCCAAGGCAGTTTGGTTGTTCACAGACCCAACCTTATCCTTCCTATACATTCTTTCTGGGGCACCACGATGACCCAGCCTTATCCTTCTGATGCATTCCTTCCATTTGATGTAAAACCCTCAAACACTGAAGTGTATGCACCCTGATTGGAACTCCTGAGGTGCCAAATGTGCTTTCGCCTACTTTTCTACCTCTACAAGCGCCACTCACTTCTCCAAATTCGGAGCAGTGTCAGGCTTCTTGGAGTTTTGCTCTTGGCTGTAGCCCTCAATGGGCTCCAATAATATTCTTTCTCAAATTTATAGAGATCCACATCTCTTTTCATTGACACAACATAATTTTGCTTTTGATAACTCCTGAGACTGAATGCTTTCCAAGGTTTCTTAACCATTTGCACTTCTTTTGTAAATGCCTTCTGTGCTTTTTACACTTTTTTTTGAGATACTGGTGGGGGCTTTTTTGGGTGTTGTGTGTGTGTTTCAAGAACAAAGAAAAGCTTATTTAGAAAGTCACCGAGTAGAAGAAGTGAGCCAGCTGGGTGGCAAGGGCTCAGGGAATGAGTTACGGGGGCAAAAGCAGCTTGGGGAAAAGAGGCAAGGAAAAAGCGCCTGGGGCAGGGGTGCGGAGAGGCACGGGTGCGCTCCTTAGAGAGAGCCCCAAGACACTGTGTTTTCATGTGAATTATAAGGGCCTCTGCTATTTATTTGTGAACTTCAAACATACAGCCAATTCTGTTAATGCTTTGCTTTGGGGCCTCTCCCTTTGAGTTTATGCTTTGAGAGGCATTCCCGTGAGAAAACCGACAAGAAAAGAAGAGAGACCTGGGTTTGTAATCAGAAGACATTGATTTGTCTTAATGTTTAATCTCAGTGTGTGTGTGACCATAAGCAAGTTGCTCGGTTTCAAAGTTAACTAACGTGAAGCAGCTATGTTTCTATGTGCAGATGCCACATTCTAACTATGCACATCCACCAACGCCCTACCTGGACCACAGGGGCCTCGGACAGGGCCAGATGCCTCAGGAAAGATGAGAAAGGGAGAAGACAGGCCTGGAATTCAGGCAAGTGATGTCAGTGGAGGGCATTTCTGCACTTTCTATCTTGGTATTGATAGAGAAATGTCTGCTAAAGAGAAGCAGTGGTGTCCTAACTGGTTTGGCTCAGTGGATAGAGTGTTGGCCTGTGGACTGAAAGGTCCCAGGTTCGATTCCGGTCAAGGGCATGTACCTGGGTTGTGGGAACATCCCTGGTAAGGAGAGTGCAGGAGGCAACTGATGGATGTTTCTAATTATCTTACCCTCTCCCTTCCTCTCTGTAAAAAATCAATTTTATATATATATATATATATATATATATATATATATATATATATATATATATATTAGAGAGAGAGAGAGAGAGAGAGAGTGAGAGAGAGAGAGAAAGAGAAGCAATGGTGACATGGCCACAAAACAACACACAGAAGAAAATTACAAATCACCTTTCAAGGCCAACCTACCTTCCAGCGGCCATATCTGTCAGCCAGGAGGCCAAAGATGATGCTGAAGACCATGTAGCCAAAAAACACCATCTGGGAGAAGGAGGGAGAAAAAATTGTCCTTGAAGCAGAGTTGTGATGACCTGCTAATTCAATGCATTAAGCGTGCGTCCACCTCAGTCCCAGGTAAACCAGAACTATGCACGGGGAGGAGTGAAGAACGAAGATCCCCCTTGACTCCCATTAAACCTGTTCAGGGCTTCTGAGGCTTCTCCTTGGCAGACCTCGCACCTGGGAACACCGCCACCAGGTGGAAACGGGTGGGAAGAACAGGCAACTGCTCTCCCTCTGATCCAAGATTGGCCCTACTCAACTTAGATGGATAATTGTGAATTTCCATATTAATAACTTAAACACACACACACACACACACACACCTCCATTCATGCTTCAGTTCTACACACAGCCGAGACTTCTAGAAGCAGTCTCCTGTATGTATTATAGATACACATAAACTTTTAACAAACACCCAACCAACCATTCATGTAGAAACACCCTTCAAATCAAATACAAACCTACCACTTTTCCTTACTTGTTCTCACAATGTCTTTCCCTAAAGAAAACTCAAGAACCTGGATAGAATGCCAGCACGCTGACTCAGCCTGAGCTGTAACAAATATGTGTGCCTTTGGCAGCCCCAAGCTTCACTGCTTTGCCTTCCAGTAAGATTGCCGGCTGGCTGAATCCAGGGTAATCAGAGGGGAAGTGGAAGCTTTAACACTTTTCCCGTGAAGATCTCTTTCTCTCTGCTGCCTGCATTGCATTCTCTTTACCTCTCTTCCTTACTCTCCCTAAGGAAGACCAGACGCTTTCCTTCCACAGGGAACTATGGAAAACAGCAGCATCGTCTCTATTCTTGGATGACAAAAGCCATGCGCTTCCTCTGTGCACTGTCCTTTCCAGGAAGAGATGGGAGGGGGGAATCAGTGTTTTCTAAGTGCCAGGCCCGGGACACTGCTTCGCCACAGGGCAACCTGTGGTAAAAACAGACGCTGGGATACACTTTGCATGGATCTTAATTCACTCAATAGAAAGGGTTCCTTTTACCCTGGAATAATTTTATTTCTGATGGTTGGCAATAAATAATGTGCCCTCCTGTTTTTGAAAGGCAGTGGTTGTCGATGGCAAGATTTTCTGCCTCTTCTTCTAATGACCTTACTTGCCAAATACATACATGTTCTAATGTCAGCCACTCGGTTTAAGAAATATATTCTATCAGCTGGTGAATCCCAAATTTTGGTTCCCCTGAAATTAAGTTCCTCCAGCCATGCACCGCTTAGCAATGAGGATACCCTGAGAAATGCATTGTCTGGTGATTTTGTCACCAAGCTAACATCATAGAGTGCACTCACAAAACCCAGGTGGCATGCCAACAGCACAGCTGGGCTCTGTGGTATAGCCCAGTGGTCGGCAAACTCATTAGTCAACAGAGCCAAATAGCAACAGGACAACGATTGAAATTTCTTTTGAGAACCAAATTTTTTACACTTAAACTTCTTCTTAACGCCACTTCTTCAAAATAGGCTCGCCCAGGCCATTGGTATAGCCTATGGTTCCTAGGCTGCAAGCCTCCACATCCTGTTACTGTACAAACAACACAAGGTTAAGTTAAGCACATGGAAATGTGATGGTGATCAAGAGACACGGTCAACATGTGATGGATGAGGCTGCTGTCGGCACAATATGTGTGCTGTTTTATAGCAAACTGAATGCCTCTTTGCAGCAGTATCTGGTGTGAAACTCATAAAGCTATTCACATGAGAAAGTTGAGTGTATAACACAAACAATTCAATTTGGTGATTGGTTAAGCCACGATGACCACACTAAGTAACCTCCTACTGTTCTGAACTAATGGTTAAAGCATATCTAACCCATGGCTTAAGGGTTACTTTCTCGCAAAAACCGGTTTGGCTCAGTGAATAGAGCGTTGGCCTGCAGACTGAAGGGTCCCAGGTTCGATTTTTGTCAAAGGCATGTACCTTGGTTGCAGGCACATGGATGTTTCTAACTCTCTATCCCTCTACCTTCCTCTCTGTAAAAAAAAAAAAAAATCAATGATATATATATATATATATATAATTTTTTTTTTTTTAAAGAGTTACTTCCTCTGATTTGCCTTTATCTCTTTGGGGCTTTTGCTAGGAACTGGAAAATAAGCAATTCGAAGTTATGCTCTCAAGGGGAGGGGGGAAAAAAAACAGGAAGAAAGGCCTCAAATGCTGGTTGAAGCTGCAAACCCATCAGCTTTGAAAGCCAACAGACTAAGGGTGGGGCCTCCTTTGAGTCTCGCCCTGTGGGATGGAGAAGGGGGCAGGAGCCGTGGTCTCCAGTTGGCTCATTTGCAGCTCAGGAAGCAGGCACCCACCGTGGTCACCAGCGCCACCTGCCAGTTCTCCAGCTGCCACTCACAGCGGATGACGGGAGACACGACTGCGATTAGCATGATCTCCATGGCCTCGGCAATCTGAGGAAAGAGGAGGGGACACGCTGTGTCTGAGCACCAGCCTGTCACCACTCCCCCCACACCTGCCTTCCACCACCCTTTAGTCCTACCCCTTCCCCTCTCCCCCATTTAGGAAGCACCTATGGCAGACCCACTTAGCACTAGAACATTTTGAAATGTCCCCGGATTTATCGCTCATGTTTACTTGTAGCACTGGGGATGCATGCATTTGCGTTGTGTCTGAGGGTGCTGTGCGAGGCCAGTCACTTAGCTAGTGGCTCATTACACCATCCACTTCCACCTAGCTTTGTTGTTTCCACACTCATCATGGTAAAGATCTCAGGGCACCCCTTAGCAAATGGATTTGTAAAATAGCCCCTTTCTCAAGAAGTTGGGATGGGGAGACAAGGGTCATGAAAGCTAGACAACAAAGTAACAAGTGCAAACAATGAGTTCATCATCAGGAAAGAATGTCTACTTAGAAAACAGAATAAAATGTGCTACTAAATATTTCTTTCTCTTTTTTTTGTTTGTTAACCCTCACCTGAGGATACTTTTTCCAATTGATTTTGAGAGACAGTGGAAGGAAGGAAGGAAGGAAGGAAGGAAGGAAGGAAGGAAGGAAGGAAGGAAGAAAAGAAGGAAGGGAGGGGGAGAGGGAGGGGAGAGAGAGAGAGAGAGAGAGAGAGAGAGAGAGAGAGACATCGATGTGAGAGAGAAACATTGATGGATTGCCTTCCACACACACCCTGCCTGGGGCCAGGGATGAACTTGCAACCCAGGTACATACATGCCCTCGACCAGGAATCAACCCCAAGATCCTTCCATGCGTGGGTCGACACTCTAAACACTGACCACACCGGCCAGGGCCTAAATACTCCTTTCGACAGAAAGGTTAATCATCATACTCTGTCCATATCTTGCTATCCGTTACAGGGTGAGTGTATCTCCCAGGGAAATGAGGTGGATGCTAGAAAAGAATTGTTAGAATAAATAGAAATAGAGGATAGAACTCCAGCTCAGAATAATGAAGAAGAAAGTCAAAGATAACTCTGAGGTTTTGTACCTGGAGGAAGGGATGAAAACGACATCATTAGAAGGGAAAGGGCATCAAGGGGGACCAGGGGGACTGAATTGTCGGGGACACGTTGGCCTCACACACTCCCTGCCCCCATCACACCTGCCCGAGGGGACACCCCGGAGCCGAGGCCAGTGCCCGGCTGTGCCCCACAGGAAGGGGCCTGGAGACTCACCCCCGTGCTGCCCATGATGAGGAACAGGGCGATGTGGAAGCGCCCGAAGCCGATGGTCTCCACCGCCTCCTCCACGGTGAAGGTCTTGGGCTCTGAGGCGGAAAAGCACAGTGAGAGGAGCGGCCTCTGCGGGCAGGAAGTGTGTGTGGACTATTGCTCTCCCCAGAGGATGCTGGGAAACCAATCCCTGCTATAAAAACTATTGTAGTAAAGAGGAGGGGAGGGAGAGGAATTAAGCAGCAGCTTGAGGTCAGAGACGTCCAGATCATCTGACCTTTCTTCGGCTGTGGCTCCGGGGTTCCCAGGCTCAGCCTCCGGAGGCTGAGGATGGTGACCGGCTCCGCCCGCTTGCTGGCCATCGCCGATGGGTCAGACGTCCCCCACGGCTTCCCTGGTGGGCACAGGAGAGGGAACACGGGAGGAGCTGAGGCTGAGTGCATGCTTTTCTTCAATCGTCACAGAAAATCTGTGACGTGGGTTTTGCATGTTGATGAATCAGAAACCCAGAGAGGTTAAATGGCCACATGAGATCACTGGGCCCAGCCGCTAGCAGTCAACCCTGCGGAGGCCAGGTGAGCCCTGGACCAGCTGACAGCGGCCTCTGAGTGGCAGTGGGGCGGGCTTTACCACAGAGAAGTAATCTCCATTCCCACCGGTGCTGTATATGCAGTGTAACCACCTGTCACAGTGCGCTTTCTTTCTTTCTTTCTTTCTTTCTTTCTTTCTTTCTATTTATTTAATATATTTTATTGATTTTTTACAGAGAGAAAGAGAGAGGGATAGAGAAACATCGATGAGAGAATCATCAACCAGCTGCCTTTTGCACACCCCCCATTGGAGATGTGCCCACAACCAAGGTACATGCCCTTGACCAGAATCGAACCTGGGACCTTTCAGTCTTCAGGCCAATGCTCTATCCACTGGGCCAAACTGGTTTCAGCTACTTTCTTGTGTATTATTTTTATTTATTACTGACAGAAACCCATGCAGCCCTTCTTTTCATTCCCTCTTTCTGTATTTAATACTAACAAAAAGGATTCTTAATCCCCCAAACCAAAAGAAAAACAAACCAAAGAAAGAGGATCAAAAATATTTTTGTAAAATAGTAAAATATTTCCCAAGCGCCTTTAAGATACAGTCCTGTACACACACACCCCCACCCCCAGTGGGATAAACAGAACTCCTAATCTGGCCTCAGTAATTATACTGTGAGTAATAATACTGGTATCATTATTTTGATACCAGCACATATATAGGAGGCTCATTTTATCATCCTCTGCTTTCGAAGAAGTGTAACATTTTTCAAAGTAAATGGTTCGAAAAAGGAAGTTCTGAGGTTCTTCAATCACTCGCCAGACGCCTGGTGAGAAGCAGCGGGACGCAGGCAGCCCATCGGGTCCTCAATGCTGGCAGCACCGCCTGCACTGTGTCCCGCAGGCTCCTGAGGGAACTTAGGGGCATCTGACATGGTCCTTGCCCTGAGGAGTGTTTCATCAAGCTGGGGACCCCACAGACATGCATAAAAGCAACTGCACCGCAATATAGACATTCTTTGTTTTCTTCAGACGCGTACACACAGTGACAGATGGATCAATAATGCTCAGAAATAATCCTGGCAACCCCCTTCCCAAGAGACACCATGAAAAGCATGGAAGGTTATTATGTCACAGAGCGGAGAGAGTAAAAATAATTGGTCTCTCAAACCATCTAGAAGCCCGAAAGACACAAAGACAGGCTGTTCTAGAAATTACCTTTGTTTCCTTCCAGACATTGTCCAAATACCCTTTGCAGGGGTGTGCTTTTTTTTGTGGGGGGAGGGGTACATTTATTAAAGTGGGGAGCAGTGCAATAAGGAAGGGGTTGGGACAGAGGAAGCTACAGGAGAGCAGGAGGGGCTGCTGCTGTCAGCTCACTGGGGAGTCCAAGAACAGGAGCCAGGGGCGGGTCAGGGGGTGAGCCTGGGACAAGCTGCTGCTGCTCATGGCTCCCCTGGTTGCAAGTCTCCTGGGGTCCCTTAGAGTTCGGAGTTTTGTGCCTGTGGGAGAAGGAGGGGGGAGGAAAAGGCGTGGGCGCGTGCTTCAGGGAGGGAGGGTGCTCTGTATCTGGTAACTTTTAATCCTGTGCATGGGGGGCCTCTCTGGTTCTAAAGAGGCCCTCGGTGCACCTTAAACACCGACTGGCTGCATATCATGTCCCTATAGATGGGAAGATGAGCCACAGATTACCGTAATCAAAATATGAAAACAAGGCCATTCGGTGAGGATTAAATAGTGGTGATGTTTGCACAACCTTGTGGCTGTACTAAAAATCATTAAATGAACCTGAGCCTGAACCCTAGCCCTAACCCCAATCCTAACCCTAACACTAACCCTAACCAAAAAATAAAAATATAAAAAATCACTAAATGATACACTATAAATGGTGAATATTATTGTATGCAAATTATATAATGTTATTTTTTCCTCTCTAAAAATAGTCATTAAAATCATGGCAGCAGACTTAAAAACCAAAAGGGACTCTTGCCATTTATAGTGTTAAAGAATGGGACAATGTAGTTGGGTGGGAAAATATATTTTTTTTAATCCCAGCAAGTTCATCTTAAGTTACAACTAAATGTTCAATAGCACGTTCAGTCTTCACTCAACATATAACTCTTCTACCAGCCAAGTTTTATGACCTCTCACAGCAATGTAAACATGCTTTACAATTTTAACATTCATAAAGGCTTACGTTTGAGTAATAAGACAATGTGCAGTAAGTCTCCTTGCTCTTTTACTGAGCGGAAAGAAAAGAAACCCAGGAAATCTGCCACTTACCATTGAGCAGAACGAGCTTTAGTGTGAGGTGTGTTTAACCTGATTAGGTAGCCCCATCGGTCCCAGATATCCTGCTTACTTCTCTTAGCAGCAGAGAGGTGATTTCTCTCAGATGGCCTGACAAAGGTGTTACATCCAAGATAATGGCATTAAGATTCTCTTAATTAAAGCTGATCCCATAAAAAATAATAAAAATAGCTGAAACCGGTTTGGCTCAGTGGTAGAGCGTCGGTCTGTGGACTGAAAGGTCCCGGGTTCGATTCTGGTCAAGGGCATGTACGTTGGTTGCGGGCACATCCCCGATGGGGGGGTGTGCAAGAGGCAGCCGGTTGATGCTTCTCTCTTATCGACATTTCTAGCTCTCTATCCCTCTCCCTTCCTCTCTGTAAAAAAAAAAAAAAAAAAAAAAAAAAATCAATAAAATATATTTTAAAAAAATAAAAAATAATAATAAAAATAAAATAAAGCTAAAAAAATAAATAAAAATAAAATAAAGCTGATCCCATAAAGGGAGATTTACAGTTGTGATTTCATATATGTATACACACACACACACACACACACACACACACATTCAGGGGGCCAAATCATGAAGAGTCATTTATTTTATACTGAGAAGTTTCCAGAAGTAACCAGGTTTACTACAAATATAAGGAGATGATGTTAGGTAATACACAAACAAACTTATAAAAGTTTTAATAATTGTCCAAGTAAGAAATGTACAAACCTGGAAAGCATTTTTATGAGTTTATTTGAGCCCAAACTGGCAATTGCCTGGAAGCAAGACCTCAAATGCTCCTGAGGATGATGGGGTTTTGTTGTTTGTTTGTTCTCTATTTCAGTTTTATTTTTATTGAATTTACTGGTTAACAACATTATATAGCTTCAAGTGCATAATTCTACCACACATCATCTGTACACTCATGTTTTTCTTGAAATATTATTCTTTTTTCTTTGTTCTTATTGTTTTCTCTTTTATTCTTTTCTCCAGTAAATGTTTGTTGTAGCCAGCCAGTATGGCTCAGTGGTTGAACTAGGAGGCCACAGTTGGATTCCAAGTCAGGGCATATGCCCGGGTTGTGAGCTCAATCACCAGCAGGTGGCGTGCAGGAGGCAGCTGATCAATGATTCTCATCATTGATGTTTCTATCTTTCTCCCTCTCACTTCCTCTTTGAAATAAGTATATATATATATATATATATATATATATATATATATATATATATATATATATATATATAAAATATATATATATACATACAATATATATATACTATACATATATATATATATATATATTGATTTTTTTTTTTTTTTTACAAAGAGGAAGGGAGAGGGATAGAGTAGAGTTAGAAACATCAATGAGAGAGAAACATCGATCAGATGCCTCCTGCACTCCCCCTCCCCCACTGGGAATGTGCCTGCAACCAAGGTACATGTCCTTAACCAGAATTGAACCTGGGACCTTTCAATCTGTAGGCCTACTCTATCCACTGAGCCAAACCGGTTAGGGCAGTAAATATATATATATATTAAATATTTGTGGTAGATATAAATCACAAATTACAATAAAAAAATAAGATCCTAATAAATTAATGGCCAAATTATACCAACAGGCAATTCACAAGGGGATATATAAATTATAAACAAAACTGGAAAACTGTTCACTTTCTGTAGTAACTGATAATTACAGTAACAAACACCTTTAGTTATTGATAAATCAACCAACACAGAAAAGACAGAGGGAGGGCGGGGGGAGAGGAAGGGAAGAAAGGAAGGAGGGAGGGATGGAGAGAGGGAGAGGGTTAGAGGATGGGAGAGGGAGAGAGGCAGGAAGGCAGCAGCCATGGAGAGACAGATGAAACTGGTTCCATTTCTATTTCCATTTCTTCGCCTGAAAATAAAAACACTACCAGCCTCTGGTGGGAGAATAGCCTGCCGCCTTCCAATAATAAGGCTTCCCGTATACCTGGTCCGAGGGGGGCACCGCGTTGCAGGTGGTTGTTGGAGGGGGGGCACTTCTGAGAAAGCCCTTTTCACCCCTCCCTCTCCCACTCCCCCTCCTGCCTTTTTCCAGCCTGTGGACACCTGATGGCTGCTGCTTCCGCGGGCGTCTTGGGTCCTGATGTAAGCTGAGGATGGGAAGGTGGAAACCGCAGGCTAAGCGGGGCGGAGCAGAGGTGAGACAGAGTCTGGCCTGACGAGGCGGGGTCTCCCTCGCCCTGGTCTACGCACCTCACCTCCCAGCGGCTTCTAATGGGAAAGGAACGAAGGCTCTCTCCTCTCTCCTGTCTCAGACACTGTGTTTCTGGTCTTTACTACTTACTTGCAGTTGGGTGCAATTTTTTTTCCAGGCTGGTCGAGTGAAGCAGTGGGAGGAACGAGGGAACCTGTGACCACGGGCTGGGATGAACAGAAGCGCTGCACTCCGACGAGCCAGCCGTGTGCGGTTCTTAACTGATGAACTGCCTCCCGTCTGACGTGAGGGTGGAAGGAGACGGTGTTTGTATAACGTGGCGCCGTGCCCATTGCACATAAGCACTCACGGCCATCCCTATGGCCCCTCATCTCTGAATGGAGGGATCCACCAGGTGTCTGACACTTCACTGTGGCCATAAATCAAACGCACTCAGCATTCGTTCTTATCTGCGTGGTTAGCAAACGTATAGGGCTCCGGAGGCACTCGCCGCTCATGAGAGCACCTTTGGGCTCAAATGAAAAAAACACCTCAAAGGGAAAGCACCACCGCTTCCTTGTTTTCTGAAACAGGTCGCTCTTATTTCAAGGGTAAACCTTGAAGTGCA